ATCCCCAGCATCACCGAAAAGTTGGTGCCTATAAAATCCCAGCTTGAGGGAATGAAGACAGACAGATCCCTGAAGTTCATTAGCCAGGCAGCTCAGCCAGTTTAAGCAACTTAGGGTTGAGTGAGAGATCCTGTCTCAAAAGATAAAGGTGGAGAGTGGTAACCGAGGAAAGAGACAGGATATCAACTTTGCCCTCTGCATGCACATATGCATGCACTTACATATACATGTGCACATACTTACACAGGCAAGTACATAAATCACACATACATATGCACATAGGCACAAATCACACACACACACACACGCACACAAGAACTTTTTTTTTTTTTTAAAGAGGATTTAGAGCTAATGTAAGGGATGTGGAAAAATTTCTAGCCAAGGACAATATTGCATCACCTTTAAAACTCTTCTTTTTGTTTTTTAAACAGACTTCCTTATTTGCTCAAGCTGGACTAGAACTTGTAATCCTTTGCCTTTACAAGAATATAAGAAGCTAATAGAGGGGCGGGGTGGGGGGAGGCTGGAGAGTTGACTGTGTTTAAGAACACTGGCTATTCTTGCAGAGGACCTGGGTCCAATTCCCAGCACCCACATGGCAGCTAACAATCGTCTGTAACTCCAGTTCCAGGGGATCTGATGCCCTCTTCTGACCTTCTCAGGCATTACATGACACAGGTGCACTTACATACATGCAGGCATCACACTTATACACATAAAATCAAAATAATAAATAAATAAGAATATAAGAAGTTTTCTAGCTTAAGAAGTGCTGGGATTACCAGTGTGTGCCATTATGCTCAGCAACTCTAACACTTCCTGAGCTAGAAAATTTCTCATAGCGACTGGAGAGATGGCTCCAGGGTTAAGAGCACTGACTGCTCTAGCAGAGGACCCGGATTTGGTTCCTAGCACCCACATGGCAGCTAACAACCACCAGTTACTCCAGTTCCAAGGGATTCAACCACCCTCTTCTGGCCTCCCTGGGCATTGTACTCATGTTGTATACCTACATACATGCAGGTAAAACACTCATACACATAAAAGTAATAGATTTTTTTTAAGAAAAAAAGAAAATTTCTTATAGAACATTCATTTAGCCAGAGAATAGGAAGGAGTGCCGTGAAACGCCATCTTCTGGACATGATATGTCCATGGCCCTCATGAACTCACAACAGCTGTGGTTACCTGTACATGATCAAGCCAGTCAACATTCTAGTATGGATGGGGTTGGGACTCCTTAGACCCCACCCCTCACTGAAGAGTTATTGGCAACTGATGGCTGCTGGGGGTGGAAAAGTCATTTTTCTTTGAAGCTGTAGCCATTTGGTAGGCTGTCCATGCTCCAGTGGATGGCCCCACACCTGTATGCAAATGGACAGCACTAATCGAACTCAGTGGGTTATAAAAAACAAGGAGGAAGAGGAGGAGGAGGAAGAACAGGTTGGGAGGGGTTGTGGGAGCTGAAGGAGGGTTGGGGATGGGTGTGATCAAAATACATTTCATGCATGTATGAAATTCTCAAAGAATAAATAAAAATATAAAATTAAAGAAAATTCAGTATGGCAGTTCTACCAACACAAATTCAGTCTATAGGCCTATAATTCCAGTTACTCAAGAGGCTGAGGCAGGCGGATCATAAATCCAAGGCAACCCTGAGCTACAAAGTGAGTTCAAAGCTAGCCTAGGCAACTTAGTGAGACCTTGCCTCAAAAAATAAAAAGTGAAAAGAGAATTGGGAATGTAGCTCAGTGGTAGAGGTAGAGAGCTTGCCTAGCATGGCAGGCTCTGAGTTTAACCCCAGTATTGCCAATAAAAAGAGAAAAGAAAGGAAAAACATCCAGTCTACATGGTAGTTCAGGTTTTCAATTTCAGCTCATGGAATTCTAAGGTTACTACTATGAATTTAAAAGACTCTCTTAAGATATAAAGATGATGGGACTTGAGAGATGGCTCAGCAGTTAAGATGCAAGGATGATGGGACTTGAGGGATGGCTCAGTTCCCAGCACCTACATGGTGGCTAACAACCATCTATAACTCCAGTTCCAGGTGATCTGACACCCTCTTCCGGCTTCCATGGATGCACTTACATGCAGGCAAAACACTCATACACATTAAAACAAAATTTTTAAAAAGAACACCTAAATCTACTCTCTTGGCAAATTAACAGTATATAATATTGCTGACTATAGTCCTTATGTTGTTTCCATCTCTAAACTGAGTCATCCTACCTCACTGCAACTCTGTGCCTTTTGACCTACATCTTCCCATTCTTCCCTCTGTCCCTACCACTCATAACCATTGCTCTACTCTCTCCTTCTCTGTAGGATAAGGCTTTCATGCTCCTTGGTAGTACTCATGAATGAAACTTATTACTGGAGTGTTCAATAAAAAATAGGAAGTCAGAGGCCAAATGTAATATGAGTTCACTCATCTCTGTCATTGGACACTGTGCAGGAGGTTCAAAGGCCCCTTGACCAGCACACTGTTTCCAAGGTGAGCACTTCGAAGATCTTGACCAGAATATGATGGGTCTTCCTAGAATGTCAAATGTGAGTCCTTTAAAATACCCCCCCCACAGCCTGTTGATAAAGCAACCTGTTGAATCTTTTGTTTACTGCAGTAAAGGAAAATACTACTTTGATAGTCTGGTCTTAGCAATGTTACACAGTGGAAGTGAGAGGCACAGTATTCATAAGGATTTAGGGATCTGATTGAAGAGTAGTTTCAGTGGGTGTGGTAGCGCACACCTTTAGTCCAGCACTTGGAAGGCAGAGGTGGGTGGGTCTCTGTCAGATCAAGGCCAGCCTTGACTATGTGGTGATACATAGTGAGTTCCAGGCCAGCTGGGGCAAAAGGGAGTCCCTGTCTCAAAAAGATTTAAAAAAAAAAAAAAGAATAGTTCACACTGGGACCTGACTTTAGATCAGGCAATTTCTGACATAATAATTTAGGAATAGACAGAGGGAGATGAGAGTTTGGGAGTCAGTCTTTCACAGACTTCTGCCATTTAGACTAATCTACCATTCCCTCTACAATATCTTGTACTTCTGCCAACTGGAACTGTTCCCCAGCCTGGAACTTCCTCTCTGACTTCATTTTTCACCAAGGGCCCATTATGTGTTAAACATTGTTAGGCACCGGGGTGTGTGTGGGGGGGTGAAGGGAGGTTTGCAGTGAATGAAGGCATGCAAAGGGCGTTCAGTGAACTTGGAGTGCTTTTTCATCTAAAAGCACACACACACACACACACACACACACACACACACACACACAGGCTTGGGGTTGTATCTAGGATTAAAAAAGAAATTTTAAGCTACAGAAACAGGAATGAATTATTTATCAGGCCTCCAAGATCACAGAGTTGAAATGCTGCTAAACATACAATAGTATTCAATTACAAGAGAGTATTGTCCCATGGAGGATCAGAAACAATACACCTGCTGATTGATTCAATATGTGTGTTGAGCAATTTATTAATCAATTTTCTCTACACTAAAACGTGTTGGCAAATGTTATAACATTTCTTCTAGAACAACAGTCATGAAAACTTACATCAATGAAAGCAAGGGAAAAATAAAAGTTTAAGTCATGAATTGTAAATATACGCTCTACCACTGAGCTAGCCCCACTCAAAGACAGTGCTCTGCTTTTTAAATCAGGATACCAGTCTTGTGGGGGGTGTTCTGATACATAGTAGGGGGTAAGAGAAGCTGGAATAATAAAATTACCTCCTGAAAGCACAGGTATTCCTGTTTCTCATAATGAAACCAATGAGAATTAATCATGGAACAAATGCCAAAATCCACCTGACTTCATAAATAAGACATGAAATTTAAAGCAATCTCTTCTTGCACTGGCCTCAGTGCGACCTATTGAGGTGTGCAGGCACTGACCTCTTTAGGAAAAGGGTCAGCAGGCACTATGCATTAGGAATAAACTTTCCATGTCTTCACATTGAGTAATTTTCACATATGGTTTTATTTTCTTGCCTACTTCCTTTCTGATTATCTGTGGAAAATAGGAATCTCGATTGTCACACACCATGAAAATAACAGCAACATAATGTATTTATGAATAGGACATGACAACTGATTTCTAACCATCACTCTATAACAATCTTATGTTCTCTTCCACAAAAATCAGAGGACAAAATGTTACTTCAATAACATGAGGTGTTAAGAGAAGACCTGTGAAAAGAAATTAGAAGAAAAAATACACCCGCCCCCAAAGTAAGCCTTGATGAAGACTGTAAGCTAGCTTGAAGGGATTCACTTAACTCACTGTTGTCCAGAACAATAGCCATTTACAGTCCAAGAAGAGAGTTGCCTGCAGAGCCCAGTCACTATCCATTCATCTGCCGTTGTTCTTTTCACAGTATTTGTTATGGTTAGAAATGATCTTAAATCACTTGTTTCACAAGTTTATTTTCCACTCTCAGTTTTGGTGAGTTACCTGTCTAGCCCCAGCATCCAGTCAAATGCTGAGTAGAAGCTCAAAATATACTCACTGAACTTCTTTACAAGATGATCACATACATAATTTTCAAGAAATATTTAAGTCAGGGATAAGGGAAAGTGTGTGACCTTCTCAAAAGCTCAGGAGGAAGCTTGTGGGTGGAATGGAGGCCCGTGTGTGTTCTGGGCATCCATAGCCATGGAGATGCTGAACCACCCCTGGTAGAGCAAAGGGGACAAGGACGTTTCTCAACTGTGTGTTAAGGGAGTCGCGGCTAACCCCATCAGGAATTTGATGCCAGTAACCCTCTATCACACCTGCGGACAGGCTAAGCCAACACCCGGCTGTTGGCCCGGAGCATGGGGGCAGCGGGCAAGGTGGGAGCGTCTCAGGGTGACATGCTTCCCTCTGAGTTTTACTCTCCTCCTGGGCAAAGGAGCTCGCCCCCTGCTGGCCGGGTGGGATCTAGGGGGAGCCAGCCCAGCCCTGGGCGGGTGCGGGTGCGTTCCGGGAGTTGGGGGTGGAGGGCGGCTCTGCTCACCTCCGCTGCGGAACCTGCTGCTGTCGTCTGCCCTGTGCAGGGCGCTGCTGGAGCAGCCCATCGTGGGACGCACAGCCACCCGGCTCAGCACAACGCGGGCGTCGTCGAGGGGCTTGGATCTGGAGCTCGGTACCCTCCGAGCCGTCCAAGTTCCAACTGTGTGGTCAGGCTCCCAGGGCTCAGGGCACAGGCACTCAGCGGGCGCTGGGTACCCTGGTGCAGACCTGGAGCAGACAGCGAGGGGCACACAGGTGGATGGAGCAGCAGAGGGCAGCGTGCCAGACAGCTGGAGGACCAGCGGGCAGGGGAGAGCTGGGACTATGCTAAGGCCAAAGGGCACCAGGAAGGGAAAAAGAAAAAGCCCCCTGGAGCCGGGATGGGGGTGAGGGCGAAGCTCTAGGAGGCATGATGCGAATCCTTGCTAAATAGCCAGGGAGGGGGGGAGGCGGCTTCGGCCAGAGGCTATTGATTGGTAGACTAGCTATGCAATGACAGTCTTATCCTCTTACATAACTCCAACACAGTTACCACAAGGAAGTTCAACAACCATACCAAACTGTTAGGGGGTGCCCTCCATAGTCAACTTCAGGCTATTGTCCCATCAGGAGCTACACCTTTTGCTTTATTGTGCTGCCTCTCTGTGGTTCGCTTTAATCTGAAGTAGTTCTCCTAATCATAAGATTATTTTTATGGCCTTACCATTTTTTTCTGAGAGAGAGAGAGAGAGAGAGAGAGAGAGAGAGGAGAGAGAGAGAGAGAGAGAGAGAGAGAGAGAGAGAGAGAGAGGAGGAATAGGTCATTTGTTTTATTGAACGTTTCTTGATTTGGGCTCGTCTGATTTGCTGGATGGTTTTCAAGTGATGTTTTGGCTGTGATTCTCACTCTTTCTGGTGGAGTCAGTCACACAGACCAGTTCATCCTGATATTGGGAATGTTAACTTTCAACAGCTGGCTAAAATAGTGACTATCAGGTTATTGCAAAGTCACTATTTTAATCTTTGTAGTTCATGGGGTGAGACTTAGAGACTAAGTAAATATCCTGTTTCCCATCAAATCATTATTGCTACTGGATCAGATATTACTATGATGGTTATTGAATGGTGATCTAATTATATTATTCCTTCTACATGTATTACTTGGTATTCTATTTTGAGAGCATGCTCCCCTTTCGTCCAGCTATTTGTTTACCTCAGTGAATACTCATGAACTCTTACATTATTCAGGGCATTTCATTACCATTTGTATTAATGCCTTCAACAGCATTTGTTTTCACACAGTTTTGGAGTTTAGAAGTCTAAAAAATCAAGGTGCCAGCAAATGGTGTGGTTTCTTCTGAGGTGCTCTCCTTGGCTGATAGATGGGTCTCCTCTCACGGGCCTTCACTTGGTCTTTCTTTGTGTCTATGTCCTAAGATCCCCCTTTTATAAGGTCACAGATCTGTTGCTTAGGGACCCATCCTCTGACTTCAGTCAACCTTAATCGCCTCTTATGGTGCTTTGAATGAATGTTCCCCATAGGCTCCAAGTATTTGAACACTTGGACCCCATTTGGTGGTGCTGTTTGGGGAGGGTCATGGAACTTTTAGGAGGTGTGGCTATGCTGAGGGAAGCTTACACTGAGGGCAGACTTTGAGAGTATATTAATCATGCCCACTTCCAGTTTGTCTCTGCTCTGCTTCCTGTGCCTGCTTGAAGTTTGAGCCATCAGCTTTCAGCTCTGGCTGCCTCCTGCCATGCCTCCCCTCCTTTATGGACTCTTATCCTTATCTCTGTGGAACTGTAAGCCAAATATATCCTTCCTTCTGTAAGTTGCTTTGGTCATGATGTTTTATGACAACAGGAAAAGTAACTAATACACCTCCTAAAGATCTATCTATAGAAACAGTCACTTTGGGAGTTCAGTCTCCATCATATCAGTTTAGGGGTGGGAACATGGAAGGCTCCTTTCCAAAGGATATGCCTTTTAAAAATTAAAGTCATGTTTAATTTATGGAATGAAAGTTTTTAAAAGAACTTCTTCCCAATGAGACATGATCATTCATACATTAATTAAAAGTAAATTGTAACTTGAAATTCCCTGATCCCTACATTTTCATGCTAAATTAGGATCCAGTTAAGTTCCCCTTTTCCTCATTAACTATTTTTTAGGAGTTGCCTGAAGTATCCTTGGGGATAATTTGTCAACTAAGCCAAAACATCTTCTAATCTTCTATTTTCTTCAGAGGAAGCATTTTATAATCAAGTGAACAATATTAATCAGGTGCTTAGTGACTCCTAGTCTTTCTCAGGGTCCACACCAATGCTTGATAAATGGACTCAGGAATAAAATGGCTGTAGGACAGGGGTAGATGCCATACTGGACTCAACTCCTTGTTCCTCCCCTTTCTAAGGTTTACCTGGCTGAGTGCTCAGGTTCCCAGGAAGAGTGACTGACAAAAGTCTGAAATGGTATTTTGATGAGATCTAGCAACTTCCCAGTGGAAGATAGAATGGACCAATTTTAGGACAGCAGATGATCTTTTTCTAATCTCCCCCACCTCTTTCTCTCTCTCTCTCTCCCCCCCCCCCCCCCCCCCGCATGTGTATATGTGAGTGGAGACATGAGAGACATGTGTACCACACTGTGTATATGGAGGTCAGAGGGCAGCCTCAAGTGTTGGTCCTCACCTTCCTCTTTGAGATAGGGTCTGTTGCTGTTCACCCTGTGTATGCCATGCTGTCCTGCCCACAAACTTCCAGGGATTTGTTGTAGGAACACTGGGATTACAGACATGGTATGGCATCCAGCTCTATGTGGGTTCTAGGAATCTGAACTTAGGTTTTTATGCTTATGTGTCAAGTACTTTACTCAGGATCCATGTCCCCAGTTCTAGGAGAACAAATAATCTTTACTGTGATACTGGAACAGACTTGATTTTCTTACCTACAGTCTCTGCCAGCACCATCCATTAGTGGATGTCATCAAGACATTACACATCCTTTGCCTGGGGTTACACACCTGTAGTCCCTGCTACTGGGGAGGCTGAGCCAGGATGATGACTTGGGCCCACGATTTGAGACCAGCTTGGGCAACATAGCAAGACCCCATGTCAAAAATAGAAAATAGGCCTGGAGAGATGGCTCAGTGGTTAAGAGCACTGACGCTCTTGTGGAGGACCCAGGTTTGGTTCCCAGCACCCACATGGTAGCTAACAACTATCTGTAACTCCAGCTCCAGGGGGATCTGACCCCCTCTTCTGACTTCAATGGGCACTGCAATGACAGGGTGCACTTACACACATGCAGGCATTACACACATATACATAAAGCAAATAAAAATAAAAAAATATTTTTTAATATAGAAAATAAAGGGACTGGAGAGACAGCTCAGAGGTTAAGAGGACTTGCTTTTCTTCCAGAAGACCAGGATTTGACTCCCAGCACCCACATGGTGGCTCTGTCACCCTCTTCCGGTTACTACACACATACCAGTAAACATGACGGTCATCAAAATGTGTACAAATAAAAAATTAAAATAAAAAATATTAATTGCTGTACAGCAAGGGCCAATGCACTAAACCAACAACTGCCAGATGAACTTGGTAGTTGTTTGTGTTCTAACAAGGAATGCAGCCTGTCACTTTTAATTCTCATAGCAAGTAAGCCAGAATGCACAATGGATGTATACAGGTGCCCGCAGTTTCCAGAAATTTGGAACAGGGTGGGGAGGGAGATACATAACTGAATGTCTAATGTAAACAGAAGGCTCTAAACAGTCCCAAACTGTACCTGAGGTGAACTGTAATGGAAAGTGCTCTTAAGTAAATGATTCAGTTTTATAATAGGATGACAACCACAAATGAAACGTCAGGAAAGAAAAAGCACAGGATTCAAAGTAATGAGGAGCTGGTGTTTGAACCAGCAGTGTCACAACATCTATCGGGGTTTGTTTTCATTTAAACCAAAAGACCAGTTATTTATTAGTTTTTAAATTCATTTAAAAATTAGTGTATAGAACTAGAATAGAAGGCAAAAATGTGGATTTGCACAACCTTAAGTAATGTATACCTGAGTGTTAAGGCAAATAGTATGATAATCTCTGTTCAGTAAAATTTGTATGAAAATGGACCACAGCAATTGAATAAACTTTTTTAACTTAAAGGTTTATTTTGGTTTAAGGTTCTAGAGGGTGAGAGTTCATAATAGCAGGACACACGGCAACAGGTGGACACAGGGCAGTAGGTGGCCAGCACAGGAAGCTCAGAGATTTCATCATTTTGTCATTTCGTCAGCATATCAGGAAACTGAGCTCAATAAACTTTGTGAGAAAGTCCTACCTCTGACAATACATTAGCTATGAAAACTTGAGACGAACAAGGCTACTATCTCATAGGTGTGTTTTCTTGTGACGGCTAAACAATATAGGTAAATGATACACTTTTTTTCGTGTGGAGGGGGCTTATTATGTACATGCATGCAGTACAGTACCCTTAAAGGCCAGGAGAGGGCACCAGATCCCCTGGAGCTGGAGTTATAGCCTCTGAAAACCAAACTCAATTCCTCTGAGAGCTCTTAACCACTGAGCCATTTCTCCAGCCCACAGCAAGCATTAAAAAACATTTTCATTATGTTATGGGGAGGGGGACTTTTCCCTCTTCTATGATCCAGGGCAAAGTAACACACCATATAGCGTACCGATCTCATTTTACTTTTGTGTGTTTCTGTGTGTGTATGCTCTTGTGCAGAGGTCATAGGTCAATCTCTGGTGTCCTTCCTTAGTTTGTCCACCGAGTTTTTTCAGAAAGGGTCTCCCACTGCAACCTGGAGCTCATACGCTAGGCTGGCTGGTCAGCTAACCCCAGACATCTGCCTGTGTCCCAGAGATGGGCTTACAAACATGGACCACCACACTAGACTTGTAGACTTTTGTTAAATTTTTTAGTGGGGGGAGGGACTTCTGGGGGCAGAACTCACTTTATCGATTGGGCCATCAACCCAGCCCCCGATTTTACTTTTTCAATTTTTGAGACAGGGTCCCCACTACGTAGCCCTGGTTGGTTTGGAACGCTCTATGCAGACCAGGCTGGCCTTGAACTCACAGATACTCTTGTCTCTGACTCCCTGGGACTGAAGCTGTGCACCACCATGCCCGACTTGATTTTACTTTTGTCGACGCCAGTGAGGCAGTAGGTAGGTCCTCGACACCTGGTATCTTATGTAATGACGTTTCATTTTACATTTATACGAAGGTCCAAGTTTCACAGCAAAACAGATCTTGTTTTTATTTACTCATTTGTTTTATATAGGTGTAGGTGTGCGCGTGCCGCGGTGTGTGTGTGTGTATGTGTGGCGACCGGAGGACAGCCTGCGGGAGTCTGTTCTCTGCTTCCGCCAGGTGGGTTCGACTCTGGTCTTCGTCTTGGCGGCAAGGCCTTTGGCCCATCTCGCCGGGCTAGGATGTTTATCACAATCTTGTAATAGTCGATTCCCGACACCGCCAACCGGGGGTCTTGGCGTCTCCTATGCAGCAGCAACTTGGAAGGTCGCAGGGGAGTGCACAGCATGGACACGGCCGGCGGAGGGGAGATACAGGAGAAGCAGCGTCCCAGGGTCCTCCGGGAGCCTGCCTGGGGCAGCTTCCGCATAGCCGGGTTCAGCGGTCAAGACCCCGGAGGCCCGGCTCGGCGTCCGCCCAGCTTCTGCCCAGCTTCCGCTCGGCTTCTCAGCCAGCGGCTAGCCGCATCCGAATACAGCACCGAGACCCCCAAGGTTGCAGCAGGAGCCAGCGAGCACCCAAGCCACCCAGTTAACCCGCCGTCCCCATAGCAAACCGACAGCAGTCTTCCGCTCCTAGCCCGGCCTTTCCGCTGGGCTCTACTTCCGTTTCCGGTGCCGGCGCCCGTCTCTGCCGTCAAGAGCTTTGCATTGTGGGAGTGCCTTCCTTTCTCCCTCCCCGGCCATCTTCGCGGCTGTTCTTGGTGAGTGAGCTCTGCTGGGTGGCGGATTAGGCGGTGCAAGGAGCCCCGCGGGTGACGTGTGGCGCCCCGAACCCTAAACCTCTTGTCTATGTTCTGTGTGTTCTAGGTTGGGGGCCGTCTGCACCTAAGGCAGGAAGATGGTGGCCGCAAAGAAGACGGTGAGTGAAGCAGGCCGAGGCCGGAAGCCGATTCACGTGGAGAGATGGGTCTCCGCCGGGGCGGGTAGACGTGCGCACACGGGGTGGACACCATGCGACTGGCACTTCTAGTGGGACCCCGAGAACCTCGGCGGCTTCTTACCCAAGGGCTCAGGTCCAGAAAGCTGGACCTAGTTTTGAGATGGTTGCAAATGAGGGTTTCAAGTCTGTTAATGTTTGCATTGTAGAAAAAGTCTCTGGAGTCGATCAACTCAAGGCTCCAGCTTGTTATGAAAAGTGGAAAGTACGTGCTGGGGTACAAGCAGACTCTGAAGATGATCAGACAGGGCAAGGCCAAACTGGTCATCCTCGCTAACAACTGCCCAGCTTTAAGGTAATGGGGGGAACCTGAGCTCCCGTGGCCTTCTGTAAATTCATCCTGAATAAATACTCAAGAATGGGAAGAATTATGAATGGCGGTTGCTTTATGATGTTTGGACCTTGGTGTTTTTTTGGTGGTGGTTCGTCTGGGGAAAAATGTGAAACAGGAGGGATAAAACTGACAAGTCAAAGTTTGAGGGACGCTCAGAGGCATGTTTCTCCATGTGTCTTGTTCTCTCATTTTGATTACTCTTTTGGATTTGGATTGTTTTACATACTTAATTGTATGTGTTTTAGTTTGGAAAAGTTTAGGCTGGATTAAGGAAGTGCACTAGGTGATTTTGATCACCTAGTTTCATCTGTTGAGTGTTGTAAGATAAAGGAACTTGAAGAATACAAGCTTCTTGATTTTTCATGGTAGTGGCATAGCCTGCTGAACATTTTATTGTGTTTTCTTTTTTGAGATGCCATGTAGCCCTGGCTAGCCAGAACTTTGTATGTGGACCAAGCTGGCCTGGAACTCAGGAGTGCTGGGACTAAAGACGTACCACACCCTACAGTGTTTCTTTATTTTTTTATTTTTAAAAAATAACCTCGTGATAATATTTCTCAAGGGTGAGAAATTCATTGGTGTTAAAATGGCAAGCAGATTTAGTGGGTCTGGGATAGGATTTGAGATACATCTGCAGTATTGATGGCTGCACTACTGATGGTCTGTGGATCCACATACTAAGTGGCAAGGTTCTGTAGAACTTTGAACTCTTAAATAAATCTTTTGTATGTCTTAAATTGGTGATTATTACCACTCATCTAATAGTATTTATATTCAAAACACTAGTGGGTGATCGAGATGCCCCCCCCCCCGCCTTCCTTTTAATAATATAGGTTTGGGGCCCTGCATGTGCACTTTATTTTTAAATATTTCATCTTTGGTAATTTCATACAATTTTGCATGCTACTGTTTCATTGTAAAGAATCCAAGAAAGGATGTCTTTTTTTTTTTTTTTTTTTTTTAAGTGGTTATGGTATGCTTTTAAGAGGAAAATGATTTGGTTATGGATTGGCTACTCTTTAGAAAGCCTCATCAGTTTTAAAATGAGTAAGAGAAATAGTTGGGAATTTGGTGTGACAATTCATTTGTTTGCCTTTTTTGGTTCCCAAAGGAAATCTGAAATAGAATACTATGCCATGTTGGCCAAAACTGGTGTCCATCACTACAGTGGCAATAATATTGAATTGGGTACAGCATGCGGAAAATACTACAGAGTCTGCACACTGGCTATCATCGATCCAGGTATGGTTTCTTAAAAACTATAAATTTTGTTTCTTCCTTTCTAACGTATTATATATGTTCTTTGATAGAAGATGTCTTTGGTTTCCTGAGTTCAGATCACTAGAATTTTAATATAGGATATGTTGTCATTTTATTTTGCACAGAATTGATATGCATGCCAGTACATCATAATTATTTTTCCTATAAAGAAAATAAATATTAACTTTGAGATTATGACTGATTTAATGAAGCACTTTGATGGTAGGGGATCTGTAAAGGTAGAACTATGAGGCGGAAATTATCAGGTAAAATAGAAGTAATCTTTGTTACTTGGGAACAGACACACAAAATTAGTTTGGGGCAGAGGTCTACCTTAATTGGGTTATTTTCTTAGTGTCTTTTGATTCCCTTAAATGGAAGTAGGATTAGAGAAGGTGAACCACTAGATCAGGTGGCAAGACTTGGGTAATGGTTTTCTCGTTTTTTTTCCTTAATACATTGCCTTTTAAAATTAGTAATTTTTAGCTGCCTCACAGAATACTGCGAATATTCTCGCTGTTCTGATTTTGTAATAATCAGGACAGGCTAAACATTCGCTATAATAAGACCATGCATGTGTCCCCAGGCCTAGTTCTTTCCCTAGGTCTGGTTTTCTAAATGCTGGTGATAAACCAGGTCATGTAATCACAGGATGGCTAAGATTCTGAGATATTTTCTGTCTTAAGAAAAATGACAGTGCAGCTATTATGGTAGTTTGCAGATAATAATGCTAATCTGCCCTCTTGGCGCATGAACATGTAGCTACTGTAGGGAAGTTTTGTGATTTACCAGTTGCCATTAAATGAATTGTATTACTTTTATTTTTTTCTAGGTGATTCTGATATTATTAGAAGCATGCCAGAGCAGACTGGTGAAAAGTAAATCTGGAAAGTTTTTCTTTAATAAAAACTTGGCAGAGCTTGTTTTAAAAACATTGTGTCTGTTTGGTTTATTAGTGTCTTTTGGTTCCCTTAAACTTGGAAGTAGGATTAGAGAAGATGAACCACTAGATCTGGTGGTGAGACCTGGGGGTAACGTAACCGTTTTCTTTTTTTCTTTTTTAAAATAGTGTGTTGAGTATCCCATATACAAAATATGTGAGACTGCTGGTGTTTCAGGGTTTGATTTTTTTCTGATATTAAAATAAACATGGGTCATATATACAATGGAATGTCTTAGAGGTGGGACTTACGTGTAAAGAATTTATTTGTGCTTTATATAATTACACCTAAACGTAAAGTCATGTTGTACAGAATTCTCTCTGTAGGCCAGAGATTGACAGGTCATTCTCCACCTTACATACAGAGGCAGGGTAGGGCCTCTCACTTGAACCCACAGCTTGCCAATTCCAGCTAATTTAGCCAGCTTGCTGTGGACATTCCCTGTTCCAACCTCTTGTGCACTGTAGGCTGGTCACCCTGCCTACCCCACCATTTACATGGGTGCCTGGGGTCCAGACTCCAGTCCTCAAACTTGCACAGAGAGCACTTTACCCACTGAGTCATCACCCCCAGTTCTCCTATAGTGTTGTGTTTTTTTTTTTTTTTTTGAGATGGTCTCCCTGTAGCCCCTTCTTGCCTGGAACTCTTACAGAACAGGACAGGCTGGCCTCAATCTCAGATCTGCTTAGCTCTGCCTTCTGAGTGCTGGGACTGAAGGCACAGGCTACCACTCCTGGCTTCCCCTGTAGTAGTTTTTAAGGATAATCTTAATACTAGTCTTGGGATACTGTTTGCAGTTTCTATTTGAGAGGCACTGGTGGAGATTTGCAGTTTACCAAAGCTGTGTAGCAAGAACATTAACCATTTAAAATGCTATCAGGCCTGGAGAAGTTTTATCAAACATTAATAAGGCTCTTTTCTTGACAACTTCATAGTAAACCCAGATCTGTAGCAGATAGGAAAGTGTCAGGTTACCTGGATGTGTTTTATATTGTCCAGTTCTAATAGATGTGAAGTATGCTTTGTTGAGATTTGGGGGGAAGTTGGATACCACATCTCCCCAAAACATGTCCCATGCAACCGTTTTCCCACATAAGTTAATATCCTTCAAAAGCCTCAAGAATTAATTTTGGGGGGGAAGTACTGACTTGTCTACATTGTTATGTACTGAATGGAATGGTGCTAGCATGCTATATATACCCTATGTGATCTAGGCTTGCTTCCCCCCCTCCGCCCCTATTTTTTAAAAGACTTATTTGGCCCAGGTGTGGTGGTCCACTCTAATCTCAGCACTTGGGAGGCATGGGCAGATGAATCTGAATTGGAAGCCTGCCTTATCTACATGCCGAATTCCAGGTCAACCAGGACTACATAGACCCTGTGTACATACAAATGGTTAATTTTGTGTTTTGCCTGTGTGTTTGCCAGAAGAGGGCATCAGATCCCCTGGCTGGGAACTGAACCTGGGTCCTCTGCTAGTCCTCTAATCACAGTGCCATCTTTCCAGCTCTCTGCTGGATAGGCTTTGAAGAAGCTCTAAGAGTATTAGAGATGACATGGGATCTTACAGTCAACTGCCCTTTTCTCTTCCTATCCATTCAGGTTTTGGTTTTTGTATTTTTTTTAATCCAGAAAGTCGAGAGTCAAAGGACTGTCACTTTTCTAAACATTTGAGGGCTGGAGAGATGGCTCTGTGCTTAAGAGCACTGGCTGCTCTTGCAGAGGACCCAGGTTTGGTTCCCAGCACCCAAATGGTGGCTAACAACCATCTGTAACTCCAGTTCCAGGGGATCCGGTGTCCTCTTCTGACTTCCATGGGTACTACTTGACACAGATGAAGTTAACAGGCATTATACTCATTCACTCTTACTGAGCCATCTCTTTTGCCCCCATTGAGGATGAATTTAATTTGTTGTGTATGAGTATTCTGCTTGCGTGTAAGTACCCCCATCATGCAGACAGGCCAGAAGATCCCCTGGAACTGGAGTTAGGGACAGTTATTACTGCCATGTGAGTGCTTGGAACCAAACCCAGGTCCTCTGGAAGAACAGCCACTGAGTCATCTCTGTCCCCAGAGGAAGAGTTTTAAATGTTCTAAGGTGCTCATATTTACATACTCAGACACTGGTGTTTACAGTCAAGTGTTTGAAATCCTTGGTAACAATTGGTAGAGCTGCCTGTTTCCATTCTTCAGAATGTGTCAGTCACTTGGATTAAGAAAGTTTGTGTACTAATCTTAGTGGACTTTTCAGACTTGGGTAATTTTTTAAATATTTTCCCCTCCCAAGTTAACTAGTTCCAATGTAATGTCTTAGGTATAATGAGAAGCATTCTAAAGCACAGAGGCCAATGTACCACTGGCATTTTTTGGCCGCAGGCATTTAGAATGATAGTTTTAAAATGTGTGGCTTCTGGGGCCTCCTAGGTAGTGATAACAAGGTATAAGATCATTTGGTTTTTACTTTTTTATGCATTTCATGTAGCCACTGTTGTATCTGTAAGAAAGGAGTTTGAAATGTAGAGAAAAATTTAAAACAACACCTTACTCTTGGGGTAATAGAGTTGATGATGCACCATTACACTGCTGTTGGGGGAAAAATGCCACTGGCCAAAAACAGGGAAGGTAAGTTGGCATTTCAGGATCTTTTCTAATTATAAGTAATGTGTTTGGTTCATAGCAGGAGATTGCAGCAAATTCCAGGCAATTATTTAATCAGTACCTCTGCTGAACTGCTGGGATGGAGACAGAAGTGCCAAAGAAGAGGTTTGATGCCAAGTATGGAGTTGTAGTTGGGGGCCTGGAGAGATGGCTCAGTGGTTAAGAGTGCTTGCCTGCTCTTCAGAGCACCTGAGTTCAGTTTCTAGCACCCACAAAGTTGGCTCGCAACTACCTGTAAATCCAGCTCCAACACCCTCTTTTGGCCTCCATAATCATGTACTCATGCACATAAATAAAAATAAATCTTGGGGAAAAAAAAAGTGCCAGGCATGGTGGTAAACACCTTTAATCCCAGCACTTTAAGAGGCAGAGGCAGGTGTATCTGTGAGTTCTGGGTGAGCATGGTCTATATAGTCCCAGGCAAACAGGACTACATATTGAAACCCTATCTTGGAAACTGAAAAGTTCTGCAATGAAGAGAAATTTTAAAACCTTAAAATGTTGGGTGTGGTAGTACATGCTTTTAGTTCCAGCACTCAAGGCACAGGTAGGCACATTTCTGAGTTCAAGGCCAGCCTGATCTACATAGTGAGTTCCAGGCCAGCTGGGGCTACAGGGAGACCCTGTCTCAAAAAAAAAAAAAAAAAAAAAAAGAGTAAAAAAGAGTAGTAGTTGGTATGGAATAGTGGCAGCAGTTGGAAAAGTATATTAGTTACTTTTCTGATACTGTGATAAAACACCATGATCATGGCAACTTATAGGAAGAATTTATTTATCTGGAATGAGCTTCCCATTCCAGAGGGGTTAGACTAAGTCCATCATGGCAGGGAGGCATAGTGAAGTGGCCAGAGTAGGGACAGAAAGTTAAGGGCTCACATCCTCAAGCAAGCACAGGAAGCAGAGTGACTGGAAATCCTGCAAAGTTTAAGAACTCTTAAGCCCACCCCCAGTGATGTGCTTCCTCCAGCAAGGCCACATCCCCTAAAGCCTCCCAAACAATGCCACCAACGGGACAAAAATGTCCAAATACTTGGACCCTGTGGGGGACATTTCCAACCAGAAGAAACCACATTTTAGGGTGGTCATGCATGTCATTAGTTGTGTATTCTAGAAGATGGTCATGTGTTTCATGGGAGTTTTGTCTTGCCTGCCTTTGGAACTACAAGCTACTGTTACTCCTGCTGTGCCCTCTGTCTGCAGTAGCAAAAACTGCAGCCTCTTCTGGGCTTACATACGAACCTTTTTCTTGCAGTGCTAGAATTGAACTTAGGGCCTCATGCATGCTAGGCAAACATTCTACAATTAAGCTAGGTCCTCAGCCCGGAACTATTTTCTAAGATTTTAAAAATTATTTTTAATTATATGTATGTGGGGGGGTATGTGTACATGAGTGCAGGTACCTGCAGAGGCCAGAAGTGGAGTTACAGATGGTTGTGGGAAACCCAATTTGGGTCCTCAGCAAGAGCAGCACACACTTAACTGCTGAGCCATCTGTCCAGCCCCTCAGTTTCATTTTTATTATTTTTTTGGATTTATTTTTCGTCTTTTTGAGACAGGGTCTCCCTGTAGCCCCAGCTGACCTGGAACTCACTTTGTAGACCAGGCTGGCCTTGAACTCACGCCTGCCTCTGCCTCACGATGGATTTTTTTTTAATTTTATGAGTGTCATTCCTGCATGTATATAAGTGTACCATATGCATACAATGCCTGGGGAGCCAGAAGAGAGCATTGGATCCCCTGGAACTGGAGTTATGGACAGTTGCTAGCTGCCATATGAGTGCTGAGGACCAAACCCAGGTCCTTTCCAAGAGCAGCCAGTGCTCTTAACCACTGAGCCATCTCCAGCCCTATTTTGAATATTTAACTAGATTAGGTATATGTGTGTCTCTGGGGCAGGGGAGGGGAGGGTGGTATGTGCATGAGTGCAGGTTCCTCTGGAGGCCAAAGGCATTGAATTTCCTGGAGCTGGAGTTGAATACGTGGTTGTGAGTTACCTAGTGTGGGTGCTAGGAACTCAACTCTGGTCCTCTACAAGAGCAGCAAGTGCTCTTAACTACTGAGCCATCTTTCTAGCCCCTAGCCCAGAATCTTTAAGCTTTGTCTTTTTTTTTTCCCATAACTCATTTTTAAAAGTGTGTGTGTGTGTATTTTGTACAGAACATCCCAAACAAACTTATTTATCTTTATACCCGCATCCCAAATGTCACCCTCTGTGGTGGTTTGAATGAAAATGTCCCCCATAGGCTCCAAGTGTTTGGACATTTTGTCCCCAGATGATGGTGCTGTTTTGGGAGGTCTTAGGAGGTGTGGCTATCCTGGAGGAAGCACATCACTGGAGGTGGGCTTAGAGAGTTCTTAAGCCTTGCCAGATCTCCAGTCACTCTCTTGCTTCCTGTGCCTGTGTGATGATGTGAGAGCTTAGCTTCTGCTGCTCCTGCTCCAGCCACCTCCAGCCACCATGCCTCCCTGCCATGACAGACTGTAATTCCCCTGGAATCGTAAGCTAAAATAAATCTTCCTTCTATAAATTGCTTGGGTCAGTGTTTCTATTACAGCAACAGAAAAGTGACTAATACACCCTCCCATACCTGCCCCCAAACTGGAGCCCATATACTCCGTCATCCCTGTTACTGTCCACTGTGTTATCAGTGCCCCCAGCCATTCCCCAGTGCTAGTCCCATCTGAGTCTAGTCAGCCTATCTAGAGTTCCTTGTTTTAGGAAGATCAGCTCTTCCTCATCTATCAGCAGTTGCCAACATTCCTTTAGATAAGATAGGGGCTTGCTGTTCATTTTCCCAGTTCTACGCTGGGTTACTGTCTGGGAGTCTCTTGGGCCACCCTGGCCAACAACTCAGGAAGGTATCTCCTGTCTGGCATTGTTTCTTGTTATATAGCCTTAAGCTGTACACATGGATTCTTAAAGAATTATACTGATCACTTTAATCTTTGGTTACACTTTCCTTTTGGGTGTTTAAGACCATACAGTTGACCCAAATAAGTCAATTTATTTTTACTCTTAGGGCCATTTGAGGATCTGTTCCTCAGGGGTCACATGGGCTTGGGAGAAGCCCCTGGTTCCTTTCTTTTACCAGTTCCATCTACGTGGTCTTTTTATTTATTTATTTATTTATTTGTTTATTTATTTATTTACTTATTATTTTTTGGTCTTTTGGAGACAGGGTCTCCATGTAGCCCCAGCTGGCCTGGAACTCACAGAGATCAGCCTGCTTCTGCCTTCCCAGAGCTGGGATTAAAGGCGTGCACTGCCACGCCTGGCAACTTTGTCTTATTACTATTAATTTTTCAATATATATTTTTCTCTTTCTGTGGTAACTTCTAATTTTTTAATACCTTGTACATTTGCCACTTCCTATCTCTGGTCTGGTTCAAAAAGTCAAAGAGTTCATTCTGTCCTCATCCACTCAGCATACACCAAGCATAGGCACCATCTTGGGGGAAGACTGTTTGCTAAAGAATAAAAATATAACAGCTAGTATTGAGCACTTAAAGGATTTCTGGACTGTTACTCTCTATGTACTCAATACTTTGACAGCCCCATAGTCGGTCCTGTGGGCCCTGTTTAAACAGATGATATAGCAATGAAGAGGTCAGAATCAGTGATCAGCATGGAATGCAAGCTGCCTATACAGAGATACACAGGTGGCAAACATGAAACTGAAAGATACTTGGTATTGTAGACAATACCTTAAATATCTTGGGATTCACATGTCACTTTTGATGGATTGGTTGCAGGTCTCTGTATCTCATGAAGTTGGCGTGTGTTATATGTGGTGCCAAGTAGAAATGTATTTAATAACTTATGGGGTGAGGGATACTTTTGTGCCACCAGAGGGAGCCTGTGTACACCAAAGTGAAGTAGAACTGAGGCAACAGCTACTGTCTGTGTTGGCTTCAAACTTCATGTCAGTCCAGTCAATACTTTCTAATGAAAGCCTATGCTTTCAGGGTGCATTACTGAAATAAACAAAAGGTTTAGTATTCTTAGTCAAAACATTTCACCTGGAAAAAATTATTTTTCAGATAGGGTTGAGGCCTAGGAACTGTTCCTCCCACTTAGTGCCCCTTGCGAGGGAGATTATGTAGACTCGGCTAGTCTTGAACTCACAGAGATCTGTCTGCCTCTGCCTACCAAGTATTGGTATTAAAAGCATGCACCACCACACCTGGCCATACCTTGCATTTAAAGTTAAAAGACCAGGCTTGGTGGCATATGCCTGTATTCCCAGGGCTCTGGAGGCTGGGGCAGGAGGATTTAGGCAGCCTGGGTTACACAGCAAGTTCCAGGCCAACTTGAGCAAATCACAAGATCCTGTTTTAAAATAAATAAATTTAAACAAGCAATTTCACTCGGAATACCATTATCTGGAGTGGTGAATTTTAATATTGTAAAAAAATTTCAGCTTTTCCACAAGTACACATGTCCTATGATTTTATGCATACATTCATATACATATATCAAGGAAAATTTCAGTACAAGAAAAATAGCATTTTATATAGCCAGTATTCTACAGAAGACTAAATTAGTTGTCAGATGAAATTGCAACTAAGGCAGGCTGAGGCAGAAGCAAACCGTAGCCACAGTACCTTACAAAATACCTTGCATAGCTTATTTGTTCTAATGGTAAGCTCATCTCAGAATTCAGAAGGACTTTTCCCTCTAAATCAAACTTACACTCTTTAGTGTCTACATTTTTGTCTTTGTTGTAGAGCAGTCTATCAATCCAGCTTCTGTATTGGTGGTGTTTTGTTTTACAACAATAGATTTAACTATGACATGAGCTTTGGGGCTCTGCTGCTCTTGTTAAACTCCTTTACAATGGTGTCAAATCTTCATCTGTACCTTAGGCGATTTTCCAAGGCTTCCATTCTCTGTGTCATCTCTTCTAGTAAATCTTAAATTAAGGAAAAGGAGTCCGAATTGCCTGTTTTAATTTATATTCAAATACAACTTGATTTACCATAAGTTTGCCCTAAAATATAAAAAGCTTTGAGATTTAAAAAAATTTTCAGTTATTTTAGTGAGTTCCAGGACAGCTGGGGCTACAGGGAGACCCTGTCTCAAAAAGACCAAAAAAGAAAAAATAATAAAATCCTAACTTGTAAGTTTAGAGTAATTTCATTTACTATATGCCATCAAGACAAATATTTTTTTTAAAGTTTGGGGCTAGAGAGATGGCTCAGCAGTTAAGAGCACTGACTGCTCTTGCAGAGGACCTGAGTTC